TATTTTCCCTTCCCCCCCTGTCTTTTAGCTTTTAAATAATCTTTAATGTAAAGTGCCATGGACAATTAGTGGATTTGGCGCTGTATAAATATTTTTATTATATATTTTATTATATATCTTTTCCAACCCATTACCCCCACAGTTTTATGGCAAAAAGTAAATTCAAGTACACGTGTCCTTTACAATAAATATATATCATTGTCATTTATAGTTGATTGAGAGGTGTAGCATGCATTTTTCATGCATTATGTACTGAAAAGAAAGTTGATCGAGTGCCGAATGCGCAAGCTGCTTTGGGAAGTTAGGGGGCATGCCCCAGGGATTTTTATTTTTAGGGGCTTGAAATACCATTTCCCACATTTTCCAGGGAACAGTTTGTTAGATCAAAACATGGAAAAAGGTAATAGTATTTAGTACCTTGTTTCATACAGTATGTCAAACATAGGGATAATTGATATTAGGTTATACAGGAGAGCCTAAAGACTGTTTAACTAGCTAAGTTGATCATTAAAGACACTTGTCGCTCTGCGAAGGTATGCACTTGCGTATGTGTGCATATCGTCACTACGCCTCTGTTATTTTCATGTAATAATTATTTCTGTCACAAATATTGGATGCCATCTTTTCCAGTCACTGAAACAGCATAGAGTATTACAGTCAACCTATTATTTTGTTAGTGAGAACACCAACAATGTGTTCAAAATCTAATGATGTTAATATCTGATTACATGTGCCTGGGTATTTACATCGACAGATAGTTTCCTGTGCTGGAGATGGCATGATTCATTTCACAGATCTTGAAAGGGAGTCAACATATGGACAATTTCAATTTGACTGTCACGCAGGAACTACATATGAGGTATACCGGTATTTCTGTATCTATAGACATGCTTGCATTATTGTTATGCTACAGATTATTACTTTGTAAATCAGGGGATTTTTTCACTCATACCTTAACAAAATATGAAAAAAAGGAGCAAAAACCCTCAGCTGACATGTACTACACATTGGTCACATACATTACATACTGTAGCTCTTAAAATGATAAACATTTAGTTCCATCTGACTATAAGCCTCTTATCATCAAGAAGTGTTTGTTGCATTTGACAACTGTGTTACTCAACTATATGTAAAATTTTTTAGGACCTTTTTTTTTGGTATTTTTTAATTTTTTTCAGAATTTCAGAATGTGTTCTAAACTTTCTAATTCCCTACAATGAAAAGCATCTCTCCCACACCAGCTGCCCTACACTCCCAAAAATAAATCGTGGGTGCAATGTTCTTACCAGAGTGCTTTTTGCATAGAAGATACATTGTGTAAGTTATCCATTTTATTTGTATTCAATCAGGTCATTACAACCCCTGGAGATCCAAATACATTCTTAAGTTGTGGAGAAGATGGAACTGTGAGGCTTTTTGACCTCAGAACAAAAACAAAGTGCTCAAATAGAGATTGCAAAGAGGTACCTGACTCAGTGCACTTCTTAGTATGTTAGTCAGTTAGTCTAGGCTGTGTGGTGTTAAATTGAATTTTAACCCTAGTGAAGCAAATGCAGATGTACATGTACATGTTATCGTGGAGGTTTTAACTCATGTGCCAACAGCCATGTGAATTTGTTACAACAAAAGGAAGTGTTTACATAAGAAAAAAGTTCAACTCCCACAGGAATGGTTTTTAGGACACCAATATGGCTGCAGTGACATGATATTTCAAATTTCGTAAGACCTTTTTGACCACATTTCCAAACACCAAGAATAGAGTTGAAAATATGACACACAGCTGAGTATTTTTTATGAACTTTGTGTTGTTTGGAAATATCGTCAAACACTGTCGTGGATGTTTGATATATCTTATCCATTGAAACTAAAACTAAGAAGAAAATGGAGATGTAAAATGGTAAAAACCTATGCTAATTGAGACCAGATATCCAAACACCATCACAGTCATGATTTCCTGTGTTTTAACTGGACAAATTATTAGTAAGTTTGAGAAATCATGTGAAAACACTCTACAGCCTGTTAAACCGTACACCATACAACTTAGCTGCCTTCAAAAGAGTTTTCCCATGATTTTGGGGATGAAAAGCACCAATTTGGCATATTTTCAACACATACACTCCCAAAGTTAAACCTTACTATACACTGTAGATCAGTTTCACGTATTGGAAGAACTGACAACAAAATGGTTAATACAGCATAGTGCTCAAAAGGATATGCATGGTGGTATTTGGAAATAGAAAATGGAACCTGTGTTTATACAGCCTGATGCAAATAGATGAAGCAGTATTTTCAGCCACGATAATCATTATCTTTAGAAGAGTGAAGAACCACATAAGATAATTTGATTTTCATGTTTGCCCTAGTCACAGGTTGACTACTGTGTTTAAAATAAAGCCAATAAAATATTTCCAGTGATCAGTGTAAGGATGTCGAATGTTTACATAACTTCATTCAAAATGACCACACATCCTATCAGAGTGGGCAAAATAACCACAATTTTGTAAACTAATTAACTATTGTAAGGTCAGAAATTGTCTCTAATTTTATGTTTTTGTTTTGTTTTGTTTTGTCTTGTTTTGTTTTGTTTTGTTTTGTTTTGTTTTAACACAGGATATTCTTATTGACTGTGGTAAAGCTGTCACATCAATCAACCTGAACCCCATCACACCATACCACCTGGGTATTGGCTGCGAGGACAGTACTGTGCGTGTGTTTGACAGACGAGCGCTGAGCAGTAGCAGTTCAAACAAGATGAATGGCATGTTCTGCCAGTTTAGACCAGACTCACTTAATGGTAGAACGTGTAGAGTGACATCACTCAATTACAGGTGCGTGCTTAATTACAGTACTTGACGTGACAGGTCAGTGAGTGAATGCATCTACTTAGTTACAGAGATACATAGAGCTGGTTACTTGTGTACAAACACTATGTACGCATTACGGACCTGTTAGTTAGGTGGCAGGTATCCTGCGGGTAGTCTCTCGTGTTTGGGTTTCATGTGGCTAGTCATGTAAGCAAGTAGCATTTAAGATGGTGTCTTTATCATTCGGGGATTGAGTTGACATGACTTTTGGTGACTCCAGGACAGTTTGAAGAACTGTCATTGAGAAGGAGATTTCCAGATTTTAGGGGAGTTACATTTTTTAGAGTGCTGTCTGAATAACATAAAGGGTGTGTCTTTTGTAAAGGTGTTTTGGTTCCTATGAGAGAAAGATATTCGTCGTTAAGTACGTGGAGGTATCGTACGTAGTTTTTTTCTTACAGTATCAGAGTAGAGAGATTTGAAGATTACTTTTTCCTTTGATGCTCTAACAAAATCTCACAACTGGTATTAGAGAGTGTATGGTTATTGCTAAGGAGAATATGTATCATGATATTGAAATGTGGTCTTTTTCTTTGCAGCCCTGACGGTAGTGAGCTCCTGGTGAGTTACTGTGCTGATTACGTTTATCTCTTCACGTTACGAGGCACGAAACAACCCCGCTCCTACCGCGATGATGGCTCAGATAACGGATACTCTAACGGTAGTAACGGCCATCGGAATGTGCCGCCATTGAAGCGTCTGCGCCTGCGAGGTGATTGGTCAGACACTGGGCCCAACGCCAGGCCTGAGAGTGAGCACCCCTCCCCAGAAAGCTCCCTTATGCAGCGCATGTCTGATATGTTTGCGCGCTGGCTCGAAGAATCGTTTCGCGCTGGTCAGCGTCACAGAGCGCGGACGTCGTCTTCGAGGTCCACGACGTCATCTTCGTCTTTGTCGTCTTCGACGGCGTCATATTTTTCTGGTAGTTCGTCAGAGTCGAGTGGTACTTCTGGAGTTTTCGGAGAGGAGCCGAGGAGACGTCGGAGTCACGAACGAACTTCCGAGTCGTCCCAAAGCAGTAGAGGATTGGAAGTAAACTTGTCCGGTGACATGTCCATGGAAACCGACTCGGACTCAACGCCGAGCATAGGAAATAGCTGTAGAACTGCGCAAAGTGTCTCCAGTACCACATCTGTTGAGCTTATTCCACATTCCCAAGAGGAAACCGAAAGTGTTTCTGATTCGGCGAGTGAAACATCAACTAACAGTGCTACTGTTTATATAACAGCAGCTGGGAACGATACAGATTCACGAGGACAGAACTCTGAAACCTTAAATGAAGCACTGTCAATTACGAAAGAAAACGAAAATAGACATCTTGTGGATCGGCTAAGCCGAAGTGATACCGATGTTGCGTCGAGCAGGGAGCGAACGTCTGGTCAAACGATTTCGTCTAATTTAAGGGACTCGCTTTCAACGTCTGCCATTACAACACATGGTAGACCACAAAAGAAATCCAAAAGTGTAAAAAGGACAGAACCAGTTGAAAATTTAGCAGCTGCAAGCAGTGGTCACGCTGATGAGTTCCCGACCAGAGCAGGGAGTCGAACGCGAGCAGAGCCCACCCCGAGTCGAACGCGCGCGGAACCCACGCCTCGCGAGGAAGTGAGAAGCGCAAGAAGCTTAGCTATGAGTGATGATGAAAGCGCCGTGCTTCAGGATCAAACCTCAGCAGCCACTCGAATTCAGCGTGTTTATAGGCTTCACAAGAAAGCTAAGTCGAGTGTAGAGTACGAAGAACAGGAAATCTGGATCCCAGAAATGACACGTGTCTACAAGGGTCACCGTAACGCGCGAACAATGGTAAGGTGCTCTTATTTCCAATACTGAGCTATTTACCAACTTGAACTTGATAAATTTAAACTAAACTGCCTTTGCAAGTAAGTGGTGCTGACGTTTTGAGCGTTATGTCTTTGTCAGAGAAAAGTAGATACGCCTCAATTCCAATTATCACTATCCCTTCCCTATCCACACCTCCCCCTCCCCGCCTAAAAGAAAAGAGAGCTTAAACAACAACGAGGACGACGCCTAGTCAAAAATGAATTTACAGTTTACCAGCGAAATTCGCAATTGTCTAGATCTGTTCAGTGCGCTAATGGCTCTAAAAACGTGTTCACTCTAAGTATGCAATGACAGCGTTCAATTCCAAATGAAAATACGAAAAATTAGCCGTCGTCGTCCACGTTCAGTAGACTACGCAGAACTTGGTCATTTCACGTTGTTGTTTTGCAGACTGGACGGCAAAGAAATGTACAAAGATTTACAACGCACGTGCATAGCCAATGTTCTACTCATTAAACCTTTTGCTTGGTGGCGTTTTCGTTGCTTTCTTCGTCGTGGTTTGCTTAAGCTCCATGATAATTCAATTGAAAGGCGTTCTGATACTATAAGGCTTGTTTTGTTGTTTTATATCATTACTAGTCTGCTTACAGCCGTTTTCTTTGTTGCTTTCTTAGTTTTATCTACCTAATGCTCTTTCCGTTCGCGCCTGTTGAATATCTATTTATTTCTATTTAGCTTGCGTCCTCTACGATGTTAGAGGAAATGAAGTGTCTATGAACTGAACAGACTTTGTTGTTTAAGTATGCTCGTGTAGTACTTGTTCGGAGTTACGTATCGTACCGAAAGTTTACCAAGCGGTATTCCTGTGTAACCAAACTTTTTCGTAATATATCGAAACCGGTTTGAACGTTAAAACTATGTGCGTCTTTGCAGATCAAGGAAGCTAACTTCTGGGGTGAGGAGTATGTTCTCAGCGGCAGTGATTGTGGGCGCATCTTTATTTGGGACAAGTACAGCGCTGAACTGGTAATGATTCTTCAAGGCGACAAACACGTGGTCAACTGCGTCCAGCCACACCCATTTGATCCTAGTAAGTCATCGATTATGCCCTAGTCTGTTCACAATCCGTTTTTTTCACAGGAGCGAAGAGATGTGCTTGAGGGAGCTTTCGCGCTCGTTTAATATTTTGCTCGCGCTCCCCTCAATCTCAAGAGATAACGGGAGGTCTGTGAATAGACTAACGTTTTTGTCGTTGTTGAAAAGTCTTCATCGAAACGAGCGATACGATAACGAATCCTCGTAGAGATAACCCTTCAAACAATGAGGTTCATATAGAGTCATCTTCAGTGATTTCAGCCGAGTATATCAAAGTAGAATTTAATGAATGCAAACAATTCTTTATCAAACTTATAGATATGTATTTAATATACGTTTTCTATCATAAATTTTTAAAAAGTTTGAAAACCGCAAGAAAAAGTCATCTTTCATTTTCGATGGGGCCAAATTTATCTTGTGTCATTGTTGAATCAAGGGAGTTTTTTGCGGTGCAGTAACACCTTAATATTGACTCTGTTCTTCTGTTGCATTAAACTAACAGTTCTGGCATCGAGTGGAATAGACTACGATATCAAACTCTGGACTCCTTCAGCTAAAGAACCCATGGAGCCCAAAGATAAGGACGAGGTTTGTTACATGTAGTTAAATAGTACAGTAAATGGTAAGTTTGGTAATCTGCACGCTTGTCGTAATGTCTAATATTCGTAAATTGAATAAAACAGCTTTTCCCACTAAAAGTGAAGTCTAAACTGGCAATCTCGTCACTAATCAATAACTTGATGTTCTTTCAGTTTCTAATCGTATAGATCTATAACAAAATTCTCGATCGTCATTGGATGTCCGCGCGCCTATTTGTCATGTAATCGGCGTACAATCACATGGGTGCCCAATAACAGGTATCCAATTACAACTTTTTTGTAATTGGATACCCATATGATTCGCACTTTAATTACGCGCGCTTTAATGGCCTTAATATTTCCTACAGTTTTGGAAGGCGCTGCTCACTTTTTCGCTCAAAAAAAAGTTCTCAAAAGACTTCTTTAATTTTGAAATTTTGTCACTGATACGATTACATGTAATTAGTAGTTGGACCTCGTGTCGTACAATTCAGGCAGTAATCGGGCGAATAATTCCAAGATCGGACGAGCGCAAAGCCGATTTGAAATTTCGATCACGATTACTCCCTGAATTGTATTCCAGCCGATCCAATTACTGTTACCTATCGTGAGCAATTGAGAAGGCTGGGTTTTTTTTAAGTGAACGATTTGATAATTTAATTAACTAGTTCTCTTCTCGCTATGTGCTGCATATGGCTGCAACTCTTGCTCTCCAAGCAACCCTGTCCTTTGCCACACCCATTGCTTCAGCCCAGCTGGCTCATCCGTCCTGTCTGCGATAATTTGTCAAATACAGTTTAATAAATGATTGTTGTTTTCGTTTCTGTTTTCTTTGAAGATAATCGGTCGTAACGAGAAAATGTTAGAGGAGAGTAGAGACACGATTACAGTGCCAGCCTCCTTCATGATCCGCATGCTGGCTTCTTTGAATCACGCCAGGTTTGGTACGTAGCCAACCTTTTTTTT